TTACTTAAAAAACGCGACATCTTTTGTATAATTTTAATTGATTTATTCTACAATTGAGTAAAATTTTAATGAACGGACACCACACATTTCGAATGTTAATTTATTAACAAAGATAAGATGTGGAGTACCAAAAATTTTTTTATTCCGTACACATTTGTACGGTGTACAATTTTGTACAACGTACAAATTTGTATAGTACTCTTTTTGTACGTTTTTTTAGGTACACCATACTCAACATCGATTTTTAGGGTGTACACCACTCATGTGATTAACCGGACTCCACACCTTTCCGTCTTACCTAGGTATCAGGCCCGCTGTCACCATCACCACATGACCATGCTGTTGGCGATACAAAAAAATCTTTGCATACAGACATTTTGAACCTAATTGTGATTCTGCTTGATCATCTTCAAGTTCCAATAAAAAATGCATCAGAAGTTAAAGTTTATAGTCTACAAGTAATTGGTAAATATCCTAAATATCTCTTTAAATAAATATAAGTTATTGATCTTGTAATTTAATTGATCATTAGAATATCGTATAACATTATATTCGCTCAATATATTAAATGATGGTACTTTTCTTACATCTGAATTATATTCTACCTTGTTGCCATTTTCATTTGATGCAATATCTAAATACAAGGGAATATTTTATCTGATGACAATTTTTCATGTAAGTAAAACTGTGCAATTATATTGTTTATTGATCTTTAGCCACTCATAGACTTCTGTGGTTTTCAGGAGGAAGTTGCGAGGCAAATTTCAATCATGAAAAATCTTGATCTAGCAATCGATTATGATGGAGGAAATGGAAATACGGTTCGAGATGTGTTGAGAATTCCTAAATCTTTGAAGGATATACTACCTGATATGAGAAATAATGACAAATCCAATCATTCTCAGTTTTATACGTGATTTATATATTGATTTTTATTTCGAAATATGTTAAAAATAATATTTTTCTTAAGTATGGTGTTGAATCTATTTGGTTTCACGTTTTTCTAAAGCTTGCTTTAACTTTGCATTCTCGGCTTTAACTTCGATATTCTCTGTCTCGACCTCAGCAAACTTCTTTCTAAGTTCATCAATATCGGCTACAAGTTTGGAATTCAATTCTCTTAATATTTTGATTATAGATTGGGTGTTTTCCATTGTTTTATACAAGATGCAAAAGTTTAGATTAAATTACGGAAAAGTTACTGTTATACGTTACATAAAAAATAACACATGATACATTGTACATTCCTCTAACTGAAAATCTTTATTAATAAATATTTATGATAAAATACACAGGATATCTATATACGAATAAAAATAAAAAATTAATCATATTATGGTGTAGTGACAGTGAAACTTGGGGAAGTATTTCAGGGTGGATGTGAAACAGCCTGCTCCATTGCATGTTTAAGCAAATTCTTATTCACAATTATAATATTTCTCAAGGTTAGTAGTAATCTTATTAAAGCTTTTGTACACCATCTTATTTCTGAAGTTAATGGAATTTCTGCATGATCTAGATGGAAGTATCTTGGTATTCTGCTTGCATCATTAATAAGGACATTTAAATAAATTTTCTCACCAGCTACTTGGATTCCAACCACACATTGATTACAAATAAGTTTGCATGCAGAACTTATATAGCTACTTCCATCCAATAATTCTTGTCATAATTTTATCTTATCATCTATTTTTTTAGTGGTACTACAGACAATGCAAGAACTTTCTACATATAAAAACTCTACCAATTTTCCATTACAATTTTCTAGAGCCATAATATCAGGTTTTTTTTCCATTTTCACTTTACCCATTCCATTATTTCTATATATTTTACTTGCTAAACTTTGACGCTCGGCTATGCTTAAACTATACATGTTCCCAAAATTGATTTTGGATTTTTGAGATATTTTAACTTTTTGAGATTTATGCAGAATCTATTCTATATATAAAAGTAAAAAAAATATCCAGTTGTATGTATCTTTAATCAAAAAATAAATCTGGGTGGTCAAAAAATTTTGAATTTTAAGTAAAATAATTTCGTCTTCTATGAAAAACTATTTCAACTTT